ACCAAATCTGTGACAAATTTCTGTCCCTGAAAGACAGGAAGAGAAAACAAGCAACTTGGAAAGCATATTTCAGGATATCATCCATGAAAATTTCCCCAACCTTGCTAGAGAGGCCAACATTCAAGTTCAGGAAATACAGGGAACCTCTGCAGAATTCTACACAAGAAGATCATCCTTATGACACATAGTCATCAGATTCTCCAAGGTCAAAATGAAAGAAAAAGTAGTTAAGGGCAACTGGAGAGAAGGGGCAGGTCACCTACAAAGAGATTTTTTTTTTTCTTGAGACGGAGTTTAGCTCTTTTTGCTCAGGCTAGAGTGCAATAGCACGATCTCAGCTCACCACAGCCTCTACCTCCCAGGTTCAAGTGATTCTCCTTCCTCAGCCTTCCGAGTAGCTGGGATAACAGGCATGCGTCACCATGCCTGGCTAATTTTTGTATTTTTAGTGGAGACAGGGTTTCTCCATGTTGGTCAGGCTGGTCTTGAACTCCCAACCTCAGGTGATCCACCTGCCTTGGCTTCCCAAAGTGCTGGGATCACAGGTGTGAGCCACCGCTCCTGGCCCTACAAAGGGGTCTTTAGGCTAACAGCAGACCTATCAGCAGCAACCATATAAGCCAGAAGAGATTAGAGGCCTATATTCAGCATTCTTAAAGAATTTTCAACCAAGAATTTTATATCCAGCCAAACTTAGCTTCATAAGCAAAGGAATATTAAATCCTTTTCAGACAAGCAAAGGCTAAGGGAATTTGTTACCACCAGACCTGCCTTACAAGAGGTCCTGAAGGGAGTGCTAAATATGGGAAGTAAAGACCATTACTGGCCACTACAAAAACACGCTTAAAAGTACATAGGCCAGTGACACTATAATGCAGCCACACAAACATGTCTGCATAATAACCAGCTGACAGGGTTATGACAGGATCAAATCTACATGTGTCAATACTAACCTAGAATGTAAATAGGCTACACACTCCAGTTAAAAGGCACAGACTGGAAAGTTGAATATGGAAACAAAACCCAATGGTATGCTGTCTTCAGGAGGATCATCTCACGTTCAGTGACACCCATAGGCTCAAAGTAAAGGAATGGAAAAAAGTCTACTAAGCAGATGGAAAACATAAAAAGACAGGAGGTAGCTATTCTAATTTCAGGCAAAACAGACTTTAAACCAACAAAGATTTTTAAAGACCTATGAAGTGACTTAAATAACCACACAGTAATAGTGGGAGACATTAAACACTCCACTCACAGTATTAGATCATTGAGGTAAAAAAGTAACAAAGATGTTTGGGACCTGAACTCTATACTTGATCAAAATGGACCTAGGGGACATCTACAGAACTCTGCACCCAAAAACATCAGAAGGTACTCATTCTGTGCTCATGTGCACATGACACATACTCCTGTATGTGCTCATCTGCATATGACTCATACTCTAAAATTGACCATACAACCAGGCATAAAATAATCCACAGCAAATTAAAAAAAAAAAAAAATCACCCCACTCACACTCTCAGACCGCTGTGCAAGAAAAGTAGAAATCAATGCTAAGAAAATCGCACAAGGCCAGGCACGGTGGCTCACGCCTGTAATCCCAGCACTTTGGGAGGCCGAGGCGGGTGGATCACCAGGTCAGGAGATCGAGACCATCCTGGCTAACACGGTTAAACCCCGTTTCCACTAAAAAATACAAAAAAATTAACCAGGCGTGGTGGCGGGCACCTGTAGTCCCAGCTACTTAGGAGGCTGAGGCAGGAGAATGGCATGAACCCAGGAGGCGGAGCTTGCAGTGAACCGAGATTGCACCACTGCACTCCAGCCTGGGCGACGGAGCGAGACTCCGTCTCAAAAAAATAATAATAAGAAAGAAAGAAAGAAAGAAAGAAAATTGCACAAAACTATACAGTTACATGGAAGTTAACCTGGTCCTGAATGGCTTCTGGGTAAATAATATTGTAAGTAGTGTTGTGAAGACTTTCCTTTATGTTTTCCTCTAGGAGCTCTTAACATTTACATCTTTGATCCATTTTGTGTTAATTTGTTGTCTAAGACAATGGTCCAGCTTCATTATTTTGCATGAGGAGATCTAGTTTTCCTAGCACCATTTGTTGAAAGACTGTCCTTCCTTAATTGAATGGTCTTGGTGCTTTTGTCAACAATTATTTACCACAGATGTGAAGGTTTGTTTCTAGCCTCTCCACTCTGTTCCATTACTCTATATGTCTGTCTTTTATGCTGTTAGCACACCGTTTGATTACTGTCACTTTGTATTGAACTCAGGAAGTGTGAGTCCCCCAAATTTGTTCTCTCTATATATACATATATATATTTTTTTTTTTGGCTATTCCTTCAGATCCCATGTGAATTTTAAGATGGATTTTTCTATATTTGGAAAAAACAATCGATTTGAATCTGATAGAGATTGCATTGAATACATAGATTGCTTTGGGTAGTAATAACATCTTAACAATATTGTCTTACAGGCCATTAACATGGGATGTCTTTCCATTTATTTATGTGCCTTCGATTTCTTTCAGCAGTGTTTTATAGTTTTTATTACACAAGTCTCACCTCCTTGATTAAATTAATTCCTAATTACCTTTGGCCCTTGAACAACAGAGGAATTATGATTACTGAACTGTTGTGCAGTCAAAAATCTGCATATAACTTTTCACTCCTCAAAATCATAACTAATAATAGCGTACTGTTGACAGGAAGCCTTACCAAGAACATAAACAGTCGATTAACACATAAGTAGACTCATATCTATATATATATTTTTTTTTCCGAATTGTAGTGAATCTCCAAAAAATTTTCCAAAGTATTTATTGAAAAACATCTATATATAAGTGGATTCATACAGTTCAAACTTGTGGTGTTCAAGAGTCAACTGTATTCTATTCTTTTTGGGTATTGTAAATGGAATTGTTTTAATTTCCTTTTTAGACTGTTCATTGTTCTGATTATTGTGTGTTGAGGTTTTCTACATAGAAGATCATTGGGGGGATACTTTTTTAACATGATAAAATATTCTATACCTTAATAGGAATGCACCATACTCAATAGGGCAAACAGTACAGGCATTTCCACTAGAAGAGTCTGTGTTCCATTGAGACTGCCTGGTTTCTAAACCTTGAGTAGAGTTTCCTTCTAAAAACATCTGCCTTTGGAGTCAGGTTCATTTAAGAATGTCCTTGATGAAGCAGTAACAATTATTAATGTTATTAAACCTCACATACAGTCTTTTCAATATTATGCCTAACAGAATGGGAAGATATACAAAGTACTTCTGCAACTGTATTCCTAAGAAAAGTACATGTGCTGTGCTATCTGAGTTGCAAGCTGAATGAGTTGTTTTTCATGACTGTTGTTTTTACATGAAAGAACAACTGAGAGCTGGGTGTGCTGGTATAAACCTGTAATCCCAGCTGCTCCGGAGGTGGAGGCAGGAGTTTGAATTCAGGTCCAGCCTGGGTAACACAATAAGACCCCATTTCTACAAAAACAAAAACAAAAAAAAACACACAACAAACCAGACACACATACAAACACAAACAGAAACACACAAAACTGAGGGGCAGTTTTTTTTTTCAGATATAGGTGTTTGACAGGAACTTTTTCAGAAATGAACAGAGTGACTGTCACTTTGAGGAGGACAACTGAAAATATTTGTCTTCAATGATAAAATTCAAGCTTTTAAGCACAAATTACAGTTTTAGAACATTTGCTCTGTCCCTGTGAGCTTGAAAGCTTTCCTGTACCTAAAGACTGTTTTGGCAAGGTTCATTGGTGATATTAACGAATGTGACTTTTAAAAACACTGTGCTATATAATGAAACGTAGAAGATCCGCATAGATTAGTAAACTGATATTTTCCACATAAACAATGCACAATATGACAAAATTATACATGCATAAAGCACCCATCCACCCTATAAAGACCAATGGATTTTAATATAACAGTATAAAAAGTTCATTGATGCGGTTTCAGATTTCATACTGCAACTTGAAAATTTGTTTCCATTTGCTTTTAATATTCATTCACCTATCACTTTATTTTTAGTTTTTCTTTTTTTTCTTTTTTTTTTTTTTTTTGAGATGGAGTCTCGCTCTGTCACCCAGACTTGAGTGAAGTGGCACGATCTTCTCTCACTGCAACCTCTGCCTCCCGGGTTCAAGCGATTCTCGTGTCTCAGCCTCCTGAATAGCTGGGATTACGGACATGTGCCACCACGTCTGGCTAATTTTTTTGTATTTTTAGTAGAGACGGGGTTTCACCATGTTGGCCAGGCTGGTCTCAAACTTCTGACCTCAAGTGGTCCACCCGTCTTGGTCTCCCAGAGTGCTGGGATTACAGGTGTGAGTCACTGTGCCCGGTCTATTTTTAGCTTTTCTGAATAATTTTTAGGTTTGTTTCTTGTATGGAACATATGTAGTTGGGTTTTGCTCTGCAGACTGAACCAAAAATCTTTTTCTTTTGATAAGTGGATTAAGATCATTCACATTTATTAAAATGACCAAATGTTTGGTTTAGTTTCTGTCATTTTATTGTTACTGTTTCTTTCTTTATAATGTGTTTTCTTTGTTTTCTATTAAATTTTTCTTTTTTCATCTCATTTTTTGTTCTCTTTCTGCTTTTGTCTGATAATGTTTATCATGTTTCCATTCAAATTTATTCTTTCTTGTAATATACTCTTAATTTGTAATGTTATTTTTTTCTTGTTTGTCATTTCTGAGGTTAGTCAATTCTTGTCTCATTATTTATATATATATTTTTTGCTTCAGTTCTAGTCTTAGTTTTTGAATTTCAATTCAGAATGTTCTTTAATTTTCCCAAAGAGGGGTATTTAATTCAGTTTGGATTTTTGCTTAATTGTTTTCTTCAGCTGTATGTTTTTTGTTGTTGTTTTGGGAGGTGAGAGCTGGGAGTAAGGGCGGCTAAGCTGGTAATTTTCATGAGCTGATGTGTTTTTGTTCTCTGTTTTCTTCTGTAGGTAGCATTGTACAGATGAAGAGTACTTAACACCCATGCCTGTTCAAGACTGTTCAAGACTGGTGATTTGGAGTAGTTTACAAGATTCCTCATTCAGAGTGCCCTCTTGTGTGACTGGGGTGATGTGCAGCTTCCATAATGGATGGGACAGAGAGCTGGGATCTAATGTACAAGTGAAGGGCTTGGTCTTCACTGAGACATTCCAGCCATTGGAATAGGAGAGGAGCATATATGGCAGAGATGCTGGCTGATGGGTAAATATGGTAAATTGTAGAAAACTCTTCTGATTGATTGGATTTCCTTAATAAAATAGGAAGCAAGGTTAGGCTGAGTGAGGGTGGGTGAAGAGGTAGAGGAGGTTTGAGGAGAGAGAACTGCTCGGAAGACATTGGTAGACGGACCATAAAAACAGAGTTGGTTCTCTTTATGACATTAAATAGTTTCACAACATATTTTTAATGGTTGTTCGTTTTAGGGCTTAAATTACGGTTCTATGATTTTTTTAAACCAGTTTCCTATTGTTAGATATTTATTTCCAGTTTCTTACTATTATAAATAAAGTGAAACAACATCTCTTACTATACCATTTCTAAATTTGGAGTTCCTAACTTTTCTGTTCTTAAAATATAAGAATATTTATCTTTCTCATTGGTTTATAAACTGTAGTCATATTATACACTTGTGTAAATTACAAACTTTAGGAGTGTGATGGTATCATTAACACAAGATTCAAATACAAAATGTTCCAAGTACAAATAATAATGAGATTCTAAATATGCAGTTTTATATAGTAATATTATTATTGGACAAATACTATGAAATGGAAACTCGTCATTATATTGTTTTATTGCTGGGAAAAGTAATACTATTACCAACTTGCTGGACATACAGAGTACACCAAAGCTAGTGATACTTCTTAGCCAAGTCCTATTTGAAAGTAGGAATCAAAGTTATTTTCGTTGTTATCTAATCCCGCTAAAGCAAGAAAGGGAATTGCATCAACTCCAAGCAAAGGTTTATCAGACAAGACCAAAGAAAGCAGGAAACAAGGGTAAATCCTAGACCCTTAGAAGCAGGAAACTGAAGAATGAAGAGCAAGTCATCTCTCAGTGCCCTTTTGCTGTTTGCCCCCAGGTTGATTGGTTCACTTCCCAGCTGTGGCTCGGGAGGAGGGCAAGACACTTCTTATTCAAGTCTCATAACAACCTTATAAGGTGGATAATGCAATTCATTGCATAGAAAGGGAGTAAATAGGAATACTTAATTTTTTAATGTTCATGAGCCTTGTCAATACTTGTAATTAATCTTCTACTACAGTCTAGCAGTTTATTTCCTAATATTACCTCATGTATAGTTTGATACTTATGAAGTATAGATTTTATATATAAAGTTTATATATAAGGAAAAAAACAATTCTTATATTTCTGAGGCAGCACCCATCTCACTTGTAGACTTAAAAGAGACAGCAGAGATTTGAGGGACTCAGAAGTCAAATAGAGTAGGTTAAAAACCTCTTCTTTTTCAAATACTTGTTTTAAGAAACAAGCATACCCGTGTCAGTGAAATATCTTAACTTGTGTTGAATCAAGTTAGGAGAGAGAGATTCTCATGAATGTGTCCTGTGTTGTCAAAGCAGCTGCTAGCCGGTGGGTCTCTCCTACCTGGGTTATGGCAGCACCTCACAGCCAGCTGCTGGCCTCCATTCTCCCCTTTCCTCTGTACAGTTTGCTCTGGTTCCTCAGAGCAGATTTCTGAGTATACTGCTTCAGCCATGCCCTCACTGTGTCGTTCCCTGAACCAAGAGCCATTCGTCCAAAGTACTCTATCAACTAGCCATTGTAGCCATACCAAGCCGGGCTTCCTACTTCCCTCTGCTCCCCTTGGTTTCCTCCTGTGAAGTAAATCTCACTGACCCTTCCTGCCGCTCCAAGAATATATAATATATAATATATATGTGTGTGTGTGTGTATATATATTATATAGATATGTAATAAAACCATAGTCTAAAAAATTCAAACCAGGAGAAATAAAGCAAGAAAATTATATGGGAAAAATCTGCACAGATATATTTGGCCAGCATGGTTATCATGGCTCGATTAAATTTATCCCTGACCGTCTTTAAAGCCAAAGCAAACAGGATAAAGTGATCAACTACTTACCTCTCAATATCAGAAAGGAGGCAGGAGGCAAAACCTCTCTTAATTTCATAAAAACAATTCTTATGTGGGTCTTCATTATGGAAATCACAGAATAGAATGGACAGAATTCTGATTTCTAAAATTCTGTGTGACACGTTTCATATGGGTCTTTTTATGATCAGTTACTAAAAGCCACATAATAGTAGAACTCAATTTTTTTTTTTTTTTTTTTTTTTTTGGACAGTCTCACTTTGTTGCCTAGGCTGGAGTGCAGTGGTGCGATCTCGGCTCACTGCAACCTCCGCCTCCCAGGTTCAAGCGATTCTCCTGCCTCAGCCTCCCAAGTAGCTGGGACTACAGGCGTGTGCCACCATGCCCAGCTAATTTTTTGTATTTTTAGTAGGGACGGGGTTTCACCATGTTAGCCAGGATGGTCTTGATCTCCTGACCTCATGAGCTGCCCACCTTGGCCTCCCAAAGTGCTGGGATTACAGGCATGAGCCACCGTGCCCAGGCAGAATTCAGTGTTTATCTGTTGGTGAGATAATATAGGTCAGGTATGTAGCCTTTTGGTGTTTTGACTTGATCCAATCTTAGAACTTCAGGAATTCAGACCCAGAGATGTTAAATGACTGTCTCCTGTTTTAATAGTTTTCCTGACTTTCAGCATAATTGTCTCAGTTCACTGACTAGTTTCTTATAAGCATAACCATTGGGGGTGTTACATGCAAGGATTTCTTCAGGCCGGGTGCAGTGGCTCATACCTTTAATCTCGGCATTCTGGGAAGCCAAGGCAAGAGGATTGAGTCCAGGAGTTTGAGACCAGCCTTGGCAACATAGCAAGATCTCATCATCTTTACAGAAAATTTTAAAATTAACCAGGCATGGAGGTGCACATCTTGAGTCTCAGCTACTTAGGAGTCTGAGGTAGGAGGATCACTGGAGCCCATGAATTCAAGGTTGCAGTGAGTTCTGATTGTGCCACTGCACTCCAGCCTGGGCGACAGAGCCTTGTCTCTTTAAAAAAAAAAAAAAAGGGAGGAGGGGATTTCTTCTGAGTTGTGCTTGCTGAAGTCAAAATACTAGGTGATTTGGTGATGTGCCTAATGAGCATGGGACTCTTCCTGCCAATTAGAAGCACAGATACCACATTTGGAGTTTGGTGAGATCAGAATATCTCAGGTTGAGCACCTGCTGAACGCTAGGATTGTGTCTATGCATTTTAAATCTATTTTTCATCTCTATTACAATCTTATAATAGCGATTGTGACACCAGAACGGAGGCAGCTGTCTTAAGATTTCAAGGGGTGCTAGCTGAAGATAACAGAGAGGAAAGTTGGGAAGAAGCTGGATCCTTGATAACAGCTGAGCCATGGACTTAACCAGTCTTAGAGAGACCCCCACCTTCAGATTTCATGTCATACCACCTGAAATAATGTATTTTCATTATTGTTCAAGCCATTTTGATTTGGGTTGTCTACTATGCTACCTGCAGCCAAAGGGAAACTAATAAATGTGAACCAAGAAGCAAACCTACATTCTTCTTCCCAAAGTCCATGTTTCTTCCCCTCACCAACCTCTTCACCAAAAACTACATTCATTGTATTCAGCTCCTGCAAAGAGCACACATTAAGAAACAGGTTTAAGGAAGTGTTACACACTGAATGTATGCATCCCCCAAAATTCATGTGGTGAAATCCTAACTCCTAGGACTAACTATTAGGAGGTAGGGCCTTTGGGAGGTGATTGGGTTTTGAGGGTGGAGCCCCTCATGAATGGGATTAGTGCCCTTATAAAAGAGGTCCTGGGGAGCTGTCTCCCTTTTCCACCATGTGAGGACACAGCAAGAAAATGGCTGTCTACAAAGCACGACGCAGACCCTCACCAGACACTGAATCTACTAGCACCTTGACCTCCCCCAGTCTCCAGAACTGTGAGGAATAAGTGTCGTTGAAGCCACCTATTCTATGGTATTTTTGTTACAATAGCCCAAATGGACTAAGAAATGAAGAGAAATTAAGATGGGAAGGGCTATTTTCATAACAAGGAGCAGAAAACTAGAAAGAATAGATACATTTAGAGGGGTTAAGAGGAAAGGGGAGAATGTTATATGTTTGGGTAGGGAGGGACAAGATGCCCAACTCATCTTAAAAGTACTGTTGATTCCTGAGAAATTTGTAACACTCATTTACATTATTTAAAAATAAACTAAGAAATTCAAACTTGTCTCGGAGGCATGAAAAAACAAAAAAAGACCTGTTTTTAGTTACTATATGTTATTCTGAACTATACATTATTTAACGTCTCTGAAACTGGAATATATTTTACAATTGATAGACTCACATTTTAATTAGCAGGTTATTGTTTTCTTGGTGGTACATAAGAAATGGTGAATCTTACTGATTCAATGACATTTAGATTCTATTAAATATAATTTTTAACTGAAGTACATAGTTAAATAAAAGTTTACTGTGAAATAAAGTTTGTTATGGAGTTTATTATGGATTAATGAATTATAAAAGCATAATGAAGGTTTTTTCAGGGAAAAAGAGTGGTTCTCTGCCCCCTCCTCCTTTCTGTAGGCAGAGTTCTAAGATGGCTCCCAAGATTCCTCTTTTCTGGTGTACATGACCTACATAACCCCTCCCCTGAATGTGGGCATTATTATGAATATGATGGATTTCACGCCCATGATTAATTTTTATTATATGGCAAATATGAAGATTTGACATTTGATGCAATTAAGGTCTCAAATCAGTTGATTTGGAGTCTTAAAAAAAATGGGAGAGGTTATCATGGGTAGACCTCGATGAATCAGGTGAGCTTTTTAAAGAGACTGGGCCCTTTCTGAAGTCAAAGATAGGAAGCATCAGAGAGATTCTGCTATTAGCCTTGAAGAAGTAAACTGCCATGTATCTAGGACTTGTGGACAGCCGCTAGTAGCAGAGAGAAACCCCCAGATGACAAGAAGTGGAGATTTCAGTCTTATCAGCCACTCAGTCTACCAGCAACCTGAATGAGTTTGGAAGAGGTGCTCCAGGCTTATTTTGTATCCTCCCACCGTAGCCCTCAGATCAGCCATTTCTCCAAGCAGCCCAGATTCCTTTTAGTTGAGAATAGTATTTGCAAACCAGTATCTGGTCGCTAGATGTGCTCATTACTACTGAATGTCGCTGCATCTAGTGCCTTCTTAAGACACAACTAGGGAATATGTGTATTGTGTGTATAAATGTACACACATTTACATCTATATTTCAGCGTATATTGGAAACTATGGTTTCACACCAGCATCTCGAATTCCAGTCCAATTTTCTACCTCTCCATACTTTTTTTTTTTTTGAGACAGAGTCTCACTCTGTCATGCAGGCTAGAGTGCAGTGGCGCGCTCTCAGCTCACTGCAACCTCTTCCTCCTGGGTTCAAGCAATTCTTCTGCCTCAGTGTCCCGAGTAGCTGGGATTACAGGCACGTGTCACCATGCCCGGCTAATTTTTGTATTTTTAGTAGAGACGGGGTTTCGCCATCTTGGCCAAGCTGGTCTCGAACTCCTGAGCTCAGGTGATCCACCTGTCTTGGCCTCCCAAAGTGCTGGGGTTACAGGCGTGAGACACCGTGCCCAGCCTATTACCTTTCCTTTTTTTTTTTAAGACAGAGTCTCACTCTGTTGCCCAGGCTGGAGTGCAGTGGCACGATCTCAGCTCACTGCAAGCTCCGCCTCCCGGGTTCATGCCATTCTCTGCCTCAGCCTCCCAAGTAGCTAGGACTACAGGTGCCTGCCACCACACCCGGCTAATTTTTTGTATTTTTAGTAGAGATGGGGTTTCACTGTGTTAACCAGGATGGTCTCGATCTCCTGACCTTGTGATCTCGCCTCAGCCTCCCAAAGTGCTAGGATTACAGGCATGAGCTACTGCACCCGGCCCTACCTTTCCTTATTTTTAACGACTTTCTTCAACAGTGAGAATTCTGGATCCTAATATCTTTAATATACATATTCATTTAATTGATTACGAGCTCCATCGCCACTGCAGCTACCCACTGCTACCCCATCTCTGAGTGAAGGATCATACTCTGATACTCTTCTGGGCTTTAGGTATACTGAGCCATGTCCCTGCCACCACATTCTCCACCTCACGTAAAGACACTGCCCTCACTCTGCTTGGGCTCCAACACCTTATGTCAGATTGCCATCACCAGTCCAGATTCCTTCCCATCCCTTTCAGAATTCAGTGCCCTATATCTTGCACAAATTCCCTCCTCACCCTGCCCGGGCTCAGATACCCTGTGTCCTCCCCAGGCTCAGACACCCTGTGCTGGGCTGCCAGCATCACCACTCCCCACACAAACATCTCTCATTCCACTTGGTGCTCCGGCTCCACTTGGTATAGATTCCACCTTTAATCCTACTTCACCCTCATCCTCCAACACCCCAGGCCACGCTGACCTGTGCAGATGTCCTCTTCACCTTCTTTTGGCTCTGACACCCTTTTTTGGGCCACTCTTCTCAGCAGATGGCCTCCTCACTCTGCTTGGGCTCTCACACTCTGTCAGGTGGCCATCCTGTGAAGACACCTGTCTTCCCTATGTGGGGTTCCTGCATTCTGGGTCAGATTGCCGTCTTCCCTTTGTGACTTCAATTTTTGTCTGACTCCATTATCCTCACCCTGCTCAGGCTCTGGTGATAGCCCGTGCTTGATTACCCTCTCATGTTGACATTCTCAATGTAGTCATGTTCTGACACACTGTGTCTCTGTCTCCCCTTTCTCACTCTGGGGATGCCATGCTCTGTGGCCCATTAAATTATTTCTTCATTCCCTAAGTTTATGGTATATTTCTTTATTACTTCTAATTGTCAAAGTAAGCCTATGAGGTAGATGATGTCATTGCCATTTCACAGCAGAAAGCTAACGTGGTTGAGTTTTTCCCAGGGTAATTCAGCAAATGATTGAGCTGGTATTTGAACCCATGTCAGTCAAACTCAGAAGTTCTGAAGCACTCTTCATACTAAAACACCTCCAGAGAAGCAGCCGGAGGTACAGATAAAGGGGGGAAGGTAGCCTGTTTCAGGAGAAAAAGCACCATGTTTTCATTATTATCTTGTGTTTGAATCCCATTTTCTTCATTTTTAAGCTGTGTGCCTGTGCCATTTGGCAGTTAATCTTCCTGAAACTTAGTTTCTTCATCTGGAACATGAGCTAAAAATAAAATTTGTCATGCCTACATTATGATTTTGATTTGAGGTAATGGATATAAATACACCGAAAAATTTAAGGGACAATACAATGGAAGTTGTCCAATAATGCATTTCTAAGGGAACCAAAAGGGATCTTGGGGAGGGTGTGGATTGTCCAAATCAAATGCCACATCATCATCACCTTTTTCTGAAATCAGCCATTCATTCAAGATAGGTCCAGAGGGTTAATTTGGGTCCTTTGGACTAGAAATATATTTATGTTATTACAAATGAAATGATCCCCAAATGTCAGAGGAATTTGAAGTTGTCACTTTTAAGATATGATTTGTTTCAAGAAGTTTTGCCTGGAAATATAAATTTTGGAGTTATCAGCATGTACATAATATTAAAAACTATCAGACTGTATAAGATTATCTGGAAAGTGAGTGGACATAAAAAGAGAGAGAATAGTAATCCAGTACTGAACCACAGGGTACTCCGTAATTAAGAGTCTGAGGAAATAAGGAGGACTCAGCGAAGAATACCAAACAGAAATGGCCAGTAAAACAAGAATGAAGAAGTGGAGGGATCAAACAGAGTACCAACAATAAAACATAGACCTAAATTCAGACATAATAACTCAGTTACATGTAAATGGTCAAAACTTCAAAAACCAAATCCAGTCTACTATGTGTGGAATGCAATGGCGTGATCTCGACACACTGCAACCTCTGCCTCCAAGATTCAAGCGATTCTCCTGCCTTTGCCTCTCAACTAGCTGGGATTACAGGTTCCTGCCACCATGCCCAGCTAATTTTTGTATTTTTAGTAGAGATGGGGATTTCACTATGTTGGCCAGGCTGGTCTTGAACTCCTGACCTCAGGGGATCCTCCTGCCTCAGCCTCCCAAAGTGCTGGGATTACTGGCATGAGCCACCGTCTCCAGCCCAGTCCACTATGTGTTTTTGTAAATAAAGTTTTATTGGAACACAACTATGCCCATTTGTTTACATGTTGTCTATGGCTGCTTTACCAATACAACAGACTTTAGTAATTGCTACACAGGAGGATGTATGGCTTGCAAAGCCCAAAATATTTACTTTCTGCCTTTACAGAAAAAGATTGTCAGAAAAGATTTTTTAAAAATGACCCAACTATATGCTGTCTACAATAAAGTCACTTTGGTGAAAAGTAAAAGGATGGGAAAAAATACAGCATGCAAACATCAAACAAAAGAAAGATGGAGAGGCTATATTAATAACAAAATAGGCTCCAGAGCAAAGAAAATTTCAAAAGATAGAGTCACTGCATAATAACAAAAGGGGTGACTTGTTACGACATTACAATCCAAAATGTGTACACATCTAAAAACCGTGAATCAGAACATGAAGCAAAAACTGGTAGAACTGAGGCAAGAAATAGACAAATTTACAATTATATTTGGTAACTTCAACACTCCTTTTTCTCAGTGATCCATACAACTAGTAGACAGAACAAATACATAGAAGAACTGAGCAACACTATCAGTTAACTTGGTCTAATTGACATTTATTGAATATTCCTCAAACAAGAGTAGAATACACATTCTTTTTTTTTTTTTTTTTTTTTTTTTTTTTGAGATGGAGTCTCTCTGTCACCCTGGCTGGAGTGCAGTGGTGCAATCTCCACTCAATACAACCTCTGCCTCCTGGGTTCAAGCAATTCTCCTGCTTCAGCCTCCCGAGTAGCTGGCATTACAGGTGCCTGCCACCACACCTGGCTAATTTTTGTTTTTTGTTTTTTTTGAGGCGGAGTCTCGCTCTGTCGCCCAGGCTGGAGTGCAGTGGCCAGATCTCAGCTCACTGCAAGCTCCGCCTCCCGGGCTCCCGCCATTCTCCTGCCTCAGCCTCCCGAGTAGCTGGGACCACAGGCGCCGCCACCTCGCCCGGCTAATTTTTTGTGTTTTTAGTAGAGACGGGGTTTCGCCGTGTTAGCCAGGATGGTCTCGATCTCCTGACCTTGTGATCTGCCCGTCTCGGCCTCCCAAAGTGCTGGGATTACAGGCTTGAGCCACCGCGCCTGGCCTAATTTTTGTATTTTTAGTAGAGACAGGGTTTTGCCACGTTGGTCAGGCTGGTCTCGAATTCCTGACCTCAGGTGATCCACCTGCCTCTGCCTCCTAAAGTACTGGGATTACAGGCATGAGCCACCTTGCCTGGCCAAATACACATTCTTTTCAAGTGCTCATGGAGCATTGACCAAGATAAACCATATCTTGGGTCATAAAATAAAACTTAACAAATTTAAAAGTATTGAAATAATTCAAAGTG